GTAAAGTAGGTCATAAAAACAACACTATAAAATCTTGAAGCAAGAGCAAAAATATGAGAAAGATAAGAGTTCAGATGATGGCAATGTTGCAACAATGAATTCAAATAGTGATGTAATTACTTTAATTTGTACACATGGTGATTGTAATCTTGTTGGTGATCCCGGCATTGAATGGATAATTGATATAGGAACGGTATATCATTGTGTTTTTAAGAGAGAGTTGTTTATAACTTACAAAGTAAGAGATTTTGGTTGCACCAAGATGGAAAACAAAAGTATGTCATAGATTGTTGAAATTGATGATATTATTGTACAAACTAGTACAGGTTACATATTGACTTTGAAGGATGTTAGACACATTTCAGATATGAGAATGAACTTATTTGCTATTAATATCTTTGATAAATAGGGATATGAGAGTCGACAAAAGAATAGGCAGTAGAAGCTTCTTAAAGGATCTATAATAGTTGCAAGAGAAAAACTATGCTACATAATGTATAAGATTTGGATGCAATTAATGGCAACTAAGTAAATACTGTTGATGATGATGCTTCAACAAACTTGTGGCATAACAGGTTGGTACACATAAGTGAGAAAAAGTTACAGGTTTTGATAAGGTAGTCTCTCATTTCTTTGACCAAAGGTATGTCTCTTGATTTATGTAATTATTGTTTGTTTGGTAAGCATCGTATGATTTCTTTTTGTAAGAGTTCTCAGAGAAAAAAATAGATTGGAATTGATTTATTTTGACGTATGCGATTCCATTGAGGTTAAGTCATTAGGTGGTAGTAGGTATTTTGTTATTTTTATTGATGATGCTTCACATAAGACTTGGGTGTATATGTTAAAAAAAAAAAGTCAGGTATTACAATATTTTCAAAAATTTCATGTCATGGTGAAAAAGATGATAAGATTACCTTTGAAGTGTATTCGGACTCATAATGGTAGAGAATACACATTTAAAGATTTAAAAAGTACTGTTTAAAGTATAGAATCAGATATGAGATGACAGAACTTGAAACACTGTAACATAATGGTGTAGCTGAAAGGATGAACTACATTATGAAAAAAGTCAGATGTATATTAAGGATGGCAAAATTATCAAAGTTATTATGGGGTGAAGCAATCAACATAGCTTTTTATTTGCTTAACAGATTACCATCAATTCTTTTGGGCTTTGACATTCTAGAAAGAGTGTGGACAGAAAAAGATGCCTCATAATCTCACTTGAAAGTTTTTGAATGTAAAGCATTCATGCATATGCCGAAAAAGTAAAAGTCAAAGCTTGACAGTAAAGCCACACAATGTGTGTTTGTAAGATATGATGATGAAAATTTTGGTTACAAGGTATAGGATCCAGTAAAGAGCAAGATAGTCAGAAGCAGAGATATGGTCTTCCATGAAAAAAAATCCATAGTAAACTTTGAGAAAAATGAAAAGACTACACGGGTTACTATTGAATATGATGTTTTAATACCGACAAGGGTTTCATAAGAAAAAGCCATATACGATGGAAATAAGCAAGAAACAAAACTTGAAGATATGAATGAGCTAGTCACAATTAGTGATAAGCTAGATGCAATCAATTTTGAGCAAAAAGAGCAATCTTATCTACCTGAAAATGTTGAGCAAGAGAAGTTATCTTCGGCATCAGGTGATGTAAAGTCTTAGTCTAAGAGATCTACTAGAGAGCGTAAGTTATCTATCAAGTATCTAAGTTTAGATTTTATTTTAGTTACCAGTAAGGGAGAGCCAGAGAGCTTCCAAGATGTGCAGGCTACTCTGGATAGAGAGCACTAGTTAAAAATAATAAAAAAAGAAACGAAGTCATTGTGAAAAAATGATACTTATAATCTTGTTAAACTTTCAAAAGAAAAAAGGCTATTGAAGAATAAATAGGTGTTCAAGTTGAAAAAAAGATTGTGACAAACTAGTGAGGTACAAAGCTTGTTTGGTGGTAAAAGGTTTTTCTCAGAAATCAGGCATCGATTTTGATAAGATCTTTGCCCCAGTTGTGAAGATGAGTTCCTTTCGAATGGTACTAGGATTAGCAGCTGGTTTGAAGTTTGATCTTGAGTAACTTGATGTTAAAACTACATTCTTATATGATGACTTGCAAGAAGACATTTATATGAATCGGCCTGAGGTTTTGAAGTGAAAGAGAAATAGCACTTAGTTTGTAAATTGAAGAAAAGCTTATATGGCTTGAAACAAGCTCCGCGACAGTGGTATAAGAAGTTTGATTATTTTATGGTGAGTCATAACTATAAAAAAATAGCAGAGGATCCTTGTGTGTATGTCAAAAAATTCTCTTATGGTAATTTTATTATTCTTTTATTATATATTGATGATATGTTGATTATGAGACAAGATGCTAGTATAATTTGCAGGTTGAAAGAATAATTTTTTAAGTCTTTTGACATGAAGAATTTAGGTTCAGTAAAGCAGATTCTCTATATGAACATTATTCGAGAAAGCTGAAAAGCTGTGGTTGTCATAGAAAAAGTATATTGAATGAGTGCTTAATAGATCCAACATGCAACATGCTAAATTAGTTAGTAGTCTATTTGTCAATCATTTTCATTTGAGTAAGAAATATTTTTCGGTGTTTATGAAAGAGCAACTAGCTATGTCTAGTATTCATTATTCTTCTGCAGTCCGTTCTTTAATGTATCTTATAATTTGTATATGGTCTGACATTACTCATGCAGTTAGTGTAGTAAGTAGATTTCTTTCTAATCCGAAAAAGGTTTACTGGGAATCAATGAAATGGATTTTCAAATATTTGAAGGGCACCTCAAAAATGTGCTTGAGTTATGGAGTTTCACAACCAATTCTAGAAGGGTTTACTGACGCTGACATGACAGGTGATCTTAATGGTAAAAAATTTATCTCAGGATATTTGTTCACTTTTATAAGAAGAGTTGTGTTTGATAGTCTAAGTTACAAAAATATGTTACTTTGTCAACTACAGAGGCTAAGTATATTGCAACAATCGAAGCAAGTAAAGAAATATTTTGGATGAAACATTTTTTCCTTGAATTTGGGTCAAATCAAAAAGAGTATATAGTGTTTTGTGATAGCCAAAGTGTTTTAGATTTAAGTAAGAATGTCATGTACCATACTAAAACAAAGCACATTGATTTTAGATATCATTGATTACGTTCAGTGATTGAGGAACAACATATGCTGTTATAAAAAGTTCATACTGATGAGAATGTAGCAAATACGTTGACTAAGATATTTTTCAAGGAAAAGCTTGAGCTCTGCAGTAACTTGATCGGAATGAGTTCATTGGCCAAGGTAAGTTCTAAATGAAACTGCTATGGTGATGAATCTACTCCTAATAGGGCTGAAGGGAGAGATTGTTAGGAAAATAGGGTTCAGTCCTATGTAATTAGTTTTGGACCAATCAAAGGCCATGGGCCTTGGTCCTTTTTTTTTTTACATAGTGCCCTAGCTACTTAATATAAGGAAGGGGCTGTTTTAAGGTGGTGTCGAAAACCAAGAAGAGAAAAAAGAAAAGTCAAAAAATTAGAGAGAAAAAAGAGAAGGGAGAATTGGTTGAACGAAAGTTGATTTGTAGTCCGATTGAACTGAAACTTTATCAGTAGATTTATGATTTAGAGTTCTATATTTTGAACGATGAGATTAGGTTTGAAGCTCTCTATGAACAAATCTATGATGTATTTGATGAGTTACTTATTTGATGAGATTTCTCTAATTGTCTCTCTAGTTGTTAATTAGCTCTAGTTTTAGCTAGAGAAAAACTTTATATATCCATTATTTGATAGTAGAGATTTTTCTAGTGGTCTGTGATTTTTTCTCTCTACACTTAAGGGTTTTTCACGTAAATCTTGATGTGCTTTATTTTTCTTACATTATTGATTGTTGATTGTTATCTATTACTATGGGTTTATTGCGATATATTACTTCTGCATTGTTTTATTTATTGCTTCAGGCCCAATAAAAGGAAATTGAATGTTAGATGGAGATATTTTCCATATAGATAATAATTGATGATTAATTTCTTAAACTAAAAATGAAATTTGCCAATTTTGGAAGCCAACAGGTTATCATATGTTAATGTAAAAATTATTGAACTCGCTCAATTACGAGGTATTGCGTGCTTTTAAAGAAAATGTGCCTCCTTACAACTAGACTTAGACAATTTGTATATATATGTTGTGACTGTTTCATTTCAAATACATATAAAATACGAAAATCATCATATCTAATTTGTATCAACATATTAAAAATAAAATATATATTTTTTATTTTTGTTAAATTTATATACAATTTTTATTAAAAGTTTAAATTATGCCACTTTTGTGTTTTTTTTTTTTGTATTATTTTCATATTGATTTATCGTGTTTAAAATTATCGGATTAAGCAAATTGTCAAGGTAAAAGGAAACACATTTGATCACAACCCCACAATTTGCAAAATAAAAAGATCTTAGCATTCATCAACAACAACAGACGCTTGAAATAGACCTCATCTAAATGCTACAATAATGGGCAAACTTGTTTGGGAGGCTTCATCTTACAAACACAACCAAGGACAGAAAGTAGCAATTCTGAAAAGATGAATATTTACATTTTCCTGTTAGATATCCACATACATTTCAAATTATGGCAAATGACAATTGGGTAACAATGTTTTTCCTTCTCCATTTCCATTCTCCCACACAACACTTCTACCTACATTATGTGCAAGAGTTAAAGCATTTGCTTTAATTGACTTCATGATATGTCCCTCTTTTACTATCAAACAGTAAAAAGCTAATTACAGAAGGTGCAAACGAAAAAAAAAAAGGAACAGTGCAATTTGTCTGATTTGTGTTTCTGACATGCAATTAGTTGTTGTTTTAGCTCATTCTTTTGTTCTTTGACTCCAATCAGTGTAACTTTGGAGCCTACAATCTGGAAAATCAAGATTTTCGTCAAAATTCAGTAAAGAAGCAACCAAGTAACTTGAGTATACCTATATTTTTTTGCTTACGTAAACAGGTGAGTGCGGTTACGAGAGAGCTGAGGCCGCTTTATAGGAGAGATTATGAGGTTCCTTAAAGTCATTGAAGGATTAGCAGTACCAGTTCCAAAAGCAGGGTGAGCACCACCCCTTCTATTCCCAACATCAACCGCTATGGCTGCTTGTTTTGCTGGTGAGCCACTCGATATATCAAAAGGACCAGAGTTTGAACTATTCTGTCTTGCTGGCCATACATCCTCTCGAGGCCCTGGAGTTCCGGGAGAAAAAATCGACCAATCTGCAACAAATAAGTTAACTGTCTACGGAAATATTTAAGCAAAAATGATTTACTACACCTGGACTCAAATCACAATAGCAGGAACCAAGGAAACATATTAACTGTTTAAAGGCTTTTAGTAAACATATTTTAGTATTTGACACAAGGTAGGAACCTTTTCACTATCCTTTGATTACTATTATAAGAAAACAGCAAAAGAACATTATTACCCTTTCGAATAGGATCTCTGCTATCCATCATGTTAGCTGCTGGAATTGAGAATAAATCAGGCTCATTTCTGGCATAGAAATTGTTTGCAGGTTGGATGGCTGACCGTTTCATTGACTCGTACTCACTCCTTAATTGATCATACATTTCATCAAGCTTTCTTTTCTGTCTGGAATTTCGGATATATGCAGATTAGCAGGGTTCAAGAAGCATGAAATAAACTCTGGCAAAAATAATATAGACTGGCCTTGATTTCTCTGAAAACTTTTCTTGGAGCTCTTGCTTATCCTTTGACAAACTCTCGATTTCCTGTTCCATCATCTGACACCTCTTGGCCATTTTCTGATACGCAGTATGCACCTGCTCTAGTTTCTCAGAGAACTTTTCTTGCATAGTCTCGCATTTCTGCCTGCACTGAGCTACAATTCTGTTCATCTTGAACTGCATTTCTAATTCCTTTTGCCCTATGTAAAACATCACACTTCTGTATGCACTCTTCATCACTAAATTCATTAAGGAAATGCAAGTGTGAAAGGTTTTTTCTCGTTGATAAGAATCCATTCTCTCTCTCAGTTGAAAACTCTTTCATATGAAACAGAACATTACAAACAACTAATAAAGTTCTCTTCTTATTTTATTTTGGTAGCTCTCAACTGTCTGATACAATTAGGTTTCAGAGCAAAAAGAGCATATTATTGGAAAATCACATGTTCTAAATTATTGAGGATACATATCTGTGGAGACACACCAGCCATTGCCATCTGAAAGACAACGCATCATTTAGTGAGCAAAAAAACAATTAGACAAATAACAAAGCAGCAGCACAATGGAAGGCAAAGAAAAACTAGAGCATGGTGTAGATTTAACTAGGGAGATGTTTTAATCAGCAAAAAAAAGCTGTACAAAAGAATCCAAGTGAAGCATTTGCTTACATTTATCCATTCATCATTTGGGTTGATATCCACAGGTTTCATAAGACTGAAACAAAATTCCCAGATTAGGTGAGTAGAATTGAAATTAATAAGTTACAACGTGCAAGTAAAAATTAGTAAAAGTTATGCAGAACAATCCTAACCCTTGTGCTTGATAACAAATTAACAACAGGAGGTAATTTATCGCCTATATATTCGGTGAGCAGTATACAAAATAGTGAAAAGAGGAAAGAGAATTCTAGCAATAACTAATTCCAGTTTCCCATTTTTTCCTTTTTTTTTTTTTCATTTTGTTATTGTGCAACTCTATTTCCTTAGCTTAGAAAACAAAATTCTAGAAAGCATTACAACGAACAACTTACACCAGATAAAACTTTTACCTCTTAGAGAGAACTTGATCACAAATGGGACATGATGCATCATTGCCAAGGATCTTGCTCGCATCTTCAGTGCCTATTTACAATGTCAAGGAATCTTTGCAATTTATGAACTGTTTCTTTATCTTAAACAATGGAAAGGAAAAGATATTAAAGCTATTAAACTGCGATGGCGGAATAATGAAATGGGTTTGGATACAAAAGAGGTGACCACATGTAGTGGAAATGGCTCGCCCTTCTAATTCACGCCAACATGCATTGCATCTCATTTCAATTGATTGTGTTACGCTTCAATTATAAACTGTATCTGCATATCACAAGCAACCATCAGGACAAGATTCTTTAGGAGTAAACCTCCTCCTACACAGAGTTTAAAGCCAATGACCGCTACAGCTTGTTTATTTGATGAAATAAAAGAAACAAAGCTTTGACCCCAATAAGCGACACTTCACCGTGTTAATCAATATTCCATAGAATCTAGTTGCCATAAAAAACTGGGTGAATCAAAAATCAGAATTGATTTGAAAATGCTCTTCTTATACAAAAGTAAAAACATGATTTTTGTTCAAATTTCTTCATTTTCTTTTAAACTCTTCAAAATTTTTGTTTGCTCTAGTACTCAAAGCAATTTTTTGCATTTTTTTTCTTTTTGAATTTACAAAGCAAGTAGCAAAAGCCAATAAATAATGATCAAATACTAACAACACAAGTAAGTTGAATTGAAATCTGGATAAACATCAGAAAGTGAATTATTACAGAAACTTAAAATTTTCAGGAAAATTTTAGGGAAATTTTAATTCATAAATATTGGTAATCAGGTTTTGATAGTTAATCATCAGATTTTAGGGAAAAAAGTTTTTTTAAAACCCTAAAAATTCACGGAATTTCAATTAATCAGGAAAAATGACTTCTTTAATCCCGGTTCTGATATCACTATGAAGCCAACCAAATCAACGGACGTCGTAGTTTCATGAGATTTCAAAAATGGAAAACGAAAACATATAGTTCGAGGTTTCCAAAATTTTCTTTTTCGTCTTCCTAAATTTTCTTAACAACCAAACAGAGTTGTAATTACCGTTCTATCCGCAAGTTGACCGGAATTCCATCCAAAACTGCAGATTCACTTGCGACTTGATTAAAACCCTAGAAATCAACTGAAGAATATATTATAAATTAAGAAAATTTAAAAAAAAGGGGGAAAAATAGATGAAAACGAGGGACAAAAGAAGAAATCGATAAAACAAAAAAATGTAGAGATCGAAGCAATTTTTGTTTTACCTTCAAATTTCCTGAAGATTTTATCGGAGGGAAATGAATCTTTTTTTTTTCTTTTATTCTTTGTTCGTGAAAGCTCTGAGGACTGAGATGAAGATATCACTTTGGCGCCAAAATTTCTTTTTAAATACTTGAGTTTTGAGTATTTGAATATGTTCGTTGTCGCTTACGCTTAGCTTATTATGAAATGTCATAAATAGGATTAGATATATAATAAAACGAAGACCTCATAAGGGTATAACAGTCCAGCATAAGTATCTTTTTACCACTAATCATCTAGGGATTTAATTTAGTTATTTTTGTGAATAAATAGTATTAGGATTTTTAAATTTCAAATTGATCTTCCTAGGAAATCATTTGATCTAAAATCAAATTTTGTTTATTTTATTTTGTTTATTGGTTTTGAAAATTAATTATTTTAATATTTTAATATCATTTTAAATATATTTATATATAAAATAATTATTTTATTTTATAAAAAATTTAAACATTATAAATATTAATAAAAATATATAATTAGATTAAGATATTTTTGTTTTTTTTATTTTTTGATAAAAAAAAATCGAATCATATTAAAATATAAACTATTTAAATCTAAATGAAATCGAATGAAACAAAACAAAGTTGATTCAAACATTGCGAGTTAGAATCAATTTTTTATTTTCTTAATTTCTTTAAACCTAATTATTCTATACGCCTACTAGTTTTTAGAATAAAATTAATTCAAATTTATACATTTATAATAAAATTTTTAATTTCAAAAATGGATTTAGATTTATAGGATTGTCACATGTTTATTTAATAATTAAATAATTTATTATTATTTACCTTTAATATTAAATGAAGGAAAGATAGATTAATAAAGTTGCCTAAAAATTCAATATAAATGATTAATTAAAAGTCTAAATCTAACTTTGATCTCTTTACTCTTTCAATTTGGTTGCTTTAACTTTTAATCCAACTATTCTAAGTACATTTTTAATTATAGTAGTTTTTTAATATACTTTAAAAGATATAATTATATATATATATATATTATTAACAATTTAGGCTCGTTCGTAAAGTTTAACATTTTTATCGAAAGTGTAATATAGCATTTGATATAAAATGATTTTTTTAAATTATAGTGATTTATGCTCAAATCTTATCTAACATTATTGTTGAAAGTAACTTTTGCGTTTAAAAGCTGCTTTGATCCAAATGCAATATTAAATAATTAAAAATTTTTGGGTTTTTGAGCTAAAAGTTTAATTTTCCAATCCAAATCAAAAAGTTGCTCAATTGAAAATGTGCATTTGGTATAAAAATATTTTATTATCCTTATATTTTATTATTTTATATATCTTTTTAGATATTTCAATTATTTACAATATTTTTTATAGTAATACAAAAATACTTAAGTGGTGTTTTATATAATTTTTAAGATTATCAAGGTAATATAATCATCTAAGTGATTTTATTATTTAGATGATCTTATCACTCATGGTTTAAAATCATTTTATTTAATTAATAATCATTAATTCATAAGAATTAAACATCATTGTATTTGATATTACTAAAAATTAAATATTATTTTATTTAAAAGTAAGAAAATAATCATGTATATTATAATAGTTACACAAGTTAATGATTTTAATATTGATAAAAATAATAATTTGTAAAATATAATAATATTTATTTATTTTATAATAAAGTATGATTAAATTATTAAATTAATAAATATATTTATTTATTAAGTATACTAATTTTTATAATATCAATTATGTAAAAAATTTAATTAGAAAATAAAAAATCAATTAAAACCATAATAAAAATAAAAATATTATATTATATTATATATAAAACATTAAAAATTGTAAAAAAAAAAACTACATAAATTGTTTTTGAACTTGTTAGAAACATTATTTGAAATTTTTAAAAATTATAATAAAATAATTACAATTTTAAGAAGAAATAAATTTTTAATTCACATATTAAATAGATAAGATCGATTATTATTAATTTTACATATCACTTCATTTTAGTGATAAAAGTTTTTCATCTTTTTAAATAAGAATTAAATCATCCTCAAAGGTACTTATCTAATCACTCTCAATGAATCAAAGTTATTATCATGTAAGATCATCTGGTGTTTATCAAATATGATAATCTAATCACCATGTACAAATCACTATAATTTTTAAAATAATCATCCCATATCAAATATTATCTTAAATTTTCTAGCCACACTTTTCTCATCATACTTTTGAAAAATATTTTTTCAATCTAAACTTCCCCCTCCCCCCCCCAATAGCAATACTAAACCAACCTTTAATAATTACAAGATAACAATTTAAGGATCTTACATGACAATGATCTTAAATCATTGGAATGATTAGATTATTGGTTCGATGAGTAATTTGATTCCTTTTTAAAATGATGAAAAAATTTTATCATTATAAAAAATATAATTTTTAATATTATTTTTTAAATAAATTTACTCTATTGATAGCTGGATTAATAACAAACACAATAATCTAAGATCAATAATAATTTATAATATTATATCAAATATAATAATATAAAATCATTGATGATCAAATCATAAAATTATCTTGATGATCTTATTAATATAATAATTAAATCACTATAATTTTAAAAGTGGTCCAAACATTATGTAAGAGTAAATCACAATGTAAACTAGTAGTTAAATACACGAAAATTTGATCATATATAATTATTATATATGTGCTTGTTCACATAAAAAGCATCGGCTTTCAGCCAAAGGATTTTTTTTTTTTTTTTGTTTGAATGAAGGGTTCGTTAAACATTAATTTCAACCATTTATTTTGCAATTTTAATACATAGCTCTGCGTCCACAACTAAATTGTACATAAATTTACTTTTCTTCATTTATTATTCAATTTAATTCCGCAGCCAACTTTTAACGTCCTCAAAAATAAAATAATTTGAAAATTATTTCAATTCATGTAATATTTTTTTATACCAATTTGTATATTAATTCTACAAAATTGGGGTATCAAAACTATAATTATTATTTTTTGAATCATCATTGTCCGTCGCAAAAAGATTCAACAAAATTTCAAATTATCAAATAATCCAATTTAAACAATCTTATCCACAATTTGTAACAAGAAAACAAAATCTTATCCACTAAAATACACAACAACCAATAATTTTCAAAATTGATATACCGTAATCAAAGTTCTTTCTCCCAATTTTTAGCAAAACATTTAGGAGAGAGATGTGATTAGGTTTTTTAACGAAGTTATAACTACAAGAAATAATTAAAATTATGGTTAATAACACAATGATCTTTAAATTTTGAGTAGAATTTTATTTTCGTTTCTAATTTTTGAAAAATTTTTAATTGAATTTCAAATTATCTAAAATTATTTTATTTTGATATTTCCTTATTTAAAATCATATAAATTGATAGTAAATGTCAATTGATATCATAAGAATGGTATCAGCTAGCATCTTAAATGTCGACGAAAAGATCAATAAAAATTAACTCAAAGTTTAAAAACCAAAGATACTACTATCTCAAATTTTTTTATATTTTAAATATATTTTATAAAATATTAAATTTAAATAATTTTATTTTTTATTGTAATATATAATTTATATTTAAAAAAAGTATGAAGTTTATTATTATTTATTTATTTTTAATCTATTAATGATATGAAATTTTTTAAAAAAGATTTTAAAATTTGTAATTTATTTTAATTTTTAAAATATAGTTTTATTAAAAATGAACAATTATTTAATTAATAAATTATATTACACTAAAAATATAATAATATTATTTTAAATTTAATATTTCACAAAATTTATATAAAATACAGAAAATTAGAAATAATATCATCTTGGTTCTAAAGTTTGAGCAAAATTTTATTTTGGATTTTGCATATATCACATGAGATGCTTGCCAACGTCATTTACACAACGTAAGCTGGCATTTAATGACAATATCAATGATTTCATAGATAAAAAATTTCATAATTTTAAGAAATTTAGATCCAATTCCCTAAACATTTTAAAAATTAAAAACCACAATAAATTTTGATTCAAAAATTATAAACCACCTTTTTTATAATTAAATATTACATTCACTCTTAAATTAAATCAAATAAAGTCAACCAAAAATTAAATCACATTCAAACTTAATAAAACTTGAATTTAAAATTTTATGGTTCTAGAACTTATTTCGTACCATTAAATAAAATTTCACCGCCGACATGACTAGGGTTGTTGAGCAACATAATCTTCAACATATGTTAAATGTCAACATTTGTAATGGTTACGTCATCTAATTTTGCAAGAAAGCCGACAACAATATCCAATAAAATTAAATCTAAAAGAGGGAAGAAAAAAGAAAAAGGTTCCCATTTGTTGAAGGTGTATATTAATTTATGGACCTACTTGTGGGCCCATATTTCATTTTTATAAGGTTCGTGAATCACGAATTTTCGCCAATGACGCCGTTTCATGTCCTTTATCGTATGTACTCTAATTAATGAAGATCATATTTGATAGTTTTACTTTAAAAATATATATATACTTTTTATTTCTTCGTTATTTCTCTAAAATTGCTATAAAGTAAAATTATAAGTATTTTTAAAATAAAATAATTTTTTATTACTTAGAAGTTTAAATATAGTTTTTTATATAAAATTATAATTTTTAATTAGATTTTTTTTCATTTAACAGTGGAAGAAAAGATGGTTAACAATCTTTTTTATTGTTGGCTTGAATTGACTTTATATTCTAGGTCAAATTATACAACAATATATACACTTTAGTTAAATAATAGAATTAGTTTTTTTATTTTAATATGTGTAAATTGGATCCTTATATTTCATTTAATTATCAAATTTAATCAAATTATTACCGATGTAAACTTTTTTCATTAAAATTAATGATGTAGTATTTCGAATTTTTTGACGTAATATTTTTATTTATGAGTTGTTGACTTTGTCGATGTATAAAGTCTACATGGCTAAAGATACAGACGTGGTAAAATTTTTTAATATATCATCATTTTTTCATGCCAACTTTTTTAAAATTATACAACCCATCCCTATATTTTGGTTAAATGTTGAAATTAGTCATTTTACCTTAATTTATGTTTAAATTTGATATTTATATATTAATTAATTATCAAATTTAAAATTTGATCTAAAATAATATATAAAAAATATAAATTATTAATTTGACCATGATTTTTTTTTTCATATTTAGATAATTTTTTTGGATATTTAAATTATTAATTGGACTTAATTTGACAAATTGAGTTAATCTCAAATTAGATTATAAACTTAAGATAAACTAAATTATATATTTTCTTTATCTTTTATCTATTTATTTATTTTGATATTTTCATTTTTTATTATTTCTATTTTTAATATTTTTGAAATATATAAAATAGATAAAAATAAAAAATTTAAAATGACAGAAATGTAAAAGTTAGATCAAGAAACTCACAATTAATAAACCTAGATACACAATCAATAGTAAAAACAATTGTAGATATTTTATTTTTTTCGAAAATTTTTTAGATATTAAATGAGTTTTGAATTTCATCAAGACATTAGGTTTTAAAATTGTTTTTGGATCAATTAGTTTTAATTGTAAAATTAGATTTTAAGCCTAATTTTAAAGGAGTAAAAGTAATTTATTATTATTTATTTATTTATTTTTATTGTTTAGTTAGTAAAAGTTAAGAAATTAAAGTGAAAAATAAGAAAAAAAATAAGAAATTGAAAATTAAAAAATAAGAAAAATAAGAAATATTTTTAGAAATATTGATTTGAAAAAAATTTTAGAATTTGATAGCAATCGATTTTTGGGTATATATAGCTTTTGGTTTTTTTGGATAAATTTTTTCTATAATCGTCAAAATTTTCAATTATTAATTTTTAGAAATCCTAATGAAATACGAGTTCATTGAATGAGATTTGTAAAGAGAAGTAAGAGAAAAATAAGAATGAGATAGAGAAAAAAAGAAAATTAAAAAAATAATTTTTTTGTTTTTATAATAGATTAAAATGACATTATTTTAGAAGACGAATCTGGTGTAACTTACGCATTGACTTATTTATTAACTCTGTTTACGACTCGACTTATTTGTATTAAAAATTTTTGTCTTTTATTTTAGTTTATTTTACTTATTTTAAGTTAAATCTTAAATTTAATAATTAATTAATGTATAAAGATAAATTTTGAATATACATCAAAATAAAATGATTAATTTCGTAATTTAATCAAAGTACAAGGACAGACTATATAATTAGAGAAAAGGTAGTGTGAAAAAATGATGACATACAAAAGAAATTTTGTTGCATCATCATCTTTGACATCCTAGACTTTATACATCAATAAAATCAATTACTAAAGCAAAAATGTCATATAAAAAAAGTTAAAATGTCACATTTTTAATTTTAATTAAAAAATTTAAAATTATTAACATTGATTAAATTTGATAGTTAAATGAAATATAAGAATCTAATTCAAACACATTAAGATAAATAAACTAATTTCATAGTTTAACTAAAATTCAGATATTTGTTTCGTAATTTGACTTACATTCTATTATAAAATAGCACTTTATACTATTTTATAACCATCTATTGAATTGTTAATGAAATATTTTTTAGCGATAAAAACGAGACTTAGAAATTTTGAAATTTTAGATTTAAATTTTACTATTTTAGTTTGACTTTTTTTATTGGATTTTTAAATTATATTTTAGTTAACCGATTAGTTTTTTTTTTTTTGATTTAATCATTATTTTTTACATGAAATATTATAAATAATTATCTATCATTTTATAAAAAAATCTATTACATCAAAAGTTAATTTTCAGATTTTTTTGGTGCAAAAGAGATCAAAAGAGAGATTGTGTTATAGATATTAAAATTTGAAATTTAAATTTGTTAATATCAATTGATTATATAAATTAATTAAGTTAATTCTTGAATTATTAGTTCTAAGATTTTAGTTAATCATAAAAGCTACTAAAATTTTAGATTTTAATTGATGAAAATATTCTTACTTTTGAATTAGTTAATTAAAAAAAATCCCTTTTTGGATTTCACACATAACAAAAAAATTCTTTGTTCTTAACATTTAGTTAGGTATTTTTTCATTTATCCTTGTGCAAACATTAAATTTGGATAAAAGAGAAAAAAAAAAAAAAGTAAGTAACAAGACTTTTTGTTTACGGGGCGGAACCCGACAGAGCTAGAGAGGCGGCCCGGTCTCCGAGGTAAAGACACAATCGAAAATCTGCCACGTTTACCTTTCTGCAATCATAGCCTCAAAAAATATCCTTCCCCCCTTTAAAAAAAATGGAATTAGTTCACTTGGTTGCTTCGATTGTTCGCTGCCCTTTTATCTCTCATTTCTTAAACCATAAATAAACCCCTCTCTATTAAAAAATAAATAAATAAAAATCTGAAAATTTGGAATTTGTTGGAGAGAGAGAGAGAGAGAGAGAGAGAGAGAGAGAGATGAGGATACAGTGCAACGTGTGCGAGGCGGCGGAGGCGAAGGTGCTGTGCTGCGCGGACGAGGCGGCGCTGTGTTGGGCGTGCGACGAGAAAGTACATGCTGCTAACAAGTTGGCCAGCAAGCACCAGCGTGTCCCGCTCTCTTCTTCTTCTTCTCAGATGCCAAAATGTGACATTTGTCAGGTACTTCCCAAAAAATTAAACATTTAAAACCTTCTCTATTTTTTAATTATATTTGTTTTAAAAGGTCAAATTTTTATCTCAAAGGTAAGGTGGAATTTGGATTTAATTTGAAATTTTGCGTGGAATTGGTTTAACGAATAAGGAAAATTAGGGAAACATTTCGCAGTTTATCTTTGAAGATCTCCACTTTGATAAAATTCTATGAACGAAATGATTACTAAATTTTGAATTTTGGCAAATGAATAAAGTTCTGTTTGGGTAGTTGCTTTTGTTACTTTTTTTTAATTTTTAATTATTATTTTACTTCATTAAAAGTAGGTAAAAAGCTTAAAGGAATAGTGAAAGTTGAAAACGTTATTGATTAAAAATGAGTGAATGACTAAAATGTAATGTTTAGTGTATGTAACAGTAAAATTGTCTATTTAAATTTTTAATTTGCTTCTAGGGAAGCAAAGGGCAAGTAATGAAAGCCACAAACAAACAATACCTAAGAGTAACTTACTGTCAAAATCTGTTATACATGGCTAAAGTGTGCGGTGAGGCTAGGAATTCTATGTTATGGTCCTGAAAGTGAAAATAACTATTGCTGGAATCTATTTTCCCTCTGATCCATCTTTTGTTATGGTGGAAGTTATTGCCCCGAAGCTCTAAATTTGTTTTGTGCCACAATATTGTGGTAGCTAGTTGCTTAATCAAAACAAAAAGCTGTTCACCGGTCATTTTGTTTGACCTAATAATGCTTTTGGCTGTTTTTGCTTTCTTATCTATTAGAACTTGTGCCACTACAAGTCATTTCCTTGTGTAGTCTAATGGTGCTTCCTGACTATATGAGAGTTACTTTAGATAGTATTCTCATTTCTAACTGAGGAAGCTTGTAACTATCTTCTTTAGGGAAAAGAAACAACGGACCTTCGTTTTCAGGAGTTACCTATTGACTCAGAAGAAGCATCCTTTAACATGGTTGTAGGAAAGAGAATGATATGATGACTTATGCAAAACTTGGTGCTTTTTAAAGCAATTCAATTACCAATGTAGTTCATTGAAAGTTAGTATCTCTGTAACCAAGATGTAGGAGGATGGGGAGAAAGATGGTGTTCTCAGAAGTGATTTATTTTTTTATGGAAAATGATATAGTACGGGATTTATGAAACAAAATAATATATTGTTTAAACCATATCTTTGATAGTGCATAGCTTCTATCATATCATTAATTCAGTTAGATGGTTGGCAAAGAAATAATCATAGTTAAGTTCTATTTAGTAATGGCTAAAATATCTTTCGCAAGAAATTTTTTCTAAGTTATGCCATGTCACGCATATAGAATCTAGCTCTAGCATTTTGCTTGTGCCTTTGTTGAAGGATTTCTTGGTTTGTTCACAGTTCGCCCAACTTATGGTCTCAATCTTAATGTGTCATTATTGAAGATCTTTTTCTCTTCTTCTATATATCTTTTCTACAAGTTTCTGCTGTTTAGAGTACCTGACTTGTACAGTTGTACTAGCACTCTGATGATGTACCAAGTTAATATCGTTGAACAATCTGTAACATCAAATTTTTGCTGGCTTGTGCAAAGTTGGACAGACAATCAAGAAAGAGAGAGTGGAAACTACTCCTTCTATCCTGTCATGCTGATACATTCTTATTATAAGTTCTTAAAATATGATCATATTTGCTGTTCTCTGGAGGATGGAATTTCAAACTACTTGATTTTGTGGCTTGGTTGTCACCTCTTAGTTTTGTTACTTTTGGAATAATGACAAAATCAACCTTTTTTGACAGGAAATCCCTGGGTTTTTCTTTTGTTTGCAAGATCGAGCTTTACTGTGCCGAAAATGTGATGTTGCTATACATACAGCAAATCCTTATGTGTCTAGTCATCAGAGATTTCTGCTTACCGGAGTAAAAGTTGGTCTTGAAACAACAACTGACCCTGGTGCTTCTTCTTCCAATATCAAATCACCTTCTTGTGAAAAAACCCCAGAAACTAAATCTAATTCTACATCTAGAAGGGGGGCACCTATGGCATTTACTGGTGGATATAATGAGGTTCTACCATCAAACGTTGGAGTTGGGAACAGTGTGCCGGCGAAAGTATCATATGCTGGGGGTTCCACAACTGGAAGCATTCAATCATGGCAAATGGATGACTTATTTGGGGGGCTAACAGACTTTAATCAAAGCTATGGTTACATGGACAATGGATCATCTAAGGTATGCTTATAATTGTGGATTTTGTACTATGTTTAGTATTGTTCTCCTGTAGAGTGGAGGCCACCCATCTTCTTAACATTTTTTCTACTGATCATTTGTGTTTTTCTGAAAATGCACAAAGTTCCTTTTACTAGGGTGCTAATCAAATAATCCTACATTAGACATCCTTCTACACTGTGGGGGTAGATCCTCTCTCTCTTTCCCTCTTTGTCACACGCATACACACACACACAGAGCAACAGAGACAGGAACGAGTCAAAACATGCATGCACTTGCACGCCTACCTAGCTGCTTTTGTCCATGTGCGTGCATGCATAAATGCAGCTTTTGTGGTGATTGTCATGTCTTGAAGCCAAAATAAGAAAATACAGAGAGGCTTCATCACTTGGAAGGTAAATGAACCAAGTAGGACCTCGAGCTAATGATGGCTGCCCAAGATTTCCACTTGGCCAGATGACCTTCTGGTAACCAGTTTTGGGACTGGTAGAATGCAGGTTGCTGCTGCATTGAATATAATTGTAGGTTGGATTAGATTAATTCAGCTACTTATGGTCTGACGTTGCCATGGAAAAATCAGTTGTTTCATTGCACCAATAAGGAGCTAAGCCTTAATCTATTGGTCACACAGTCAACTATTACTTTGTGCTTCAATTGTGAAGTTAACTGGTTCTGACTTGACCTCTTAGGTTTGCCATGTTCTTTTAATGGTTCTTAGTTCTTAGGAGTTTTCATCTTTAGATATGGAGAAGTCTATGTAACTTGAATCTTGATCAATGATGTACTGTGAATTTTGTAGTTTTTATTTGGTACTATTAAGTTGCAGCACGAAGCCATGGTCTGAGAGAGGGGAGACTCTGGCTGGAAAGGTTGCAGGGTGCCTGCTCTTCTCAACGTAGACACACCATTTCTTTCTTGTTCTCTATCCTTCCTCAGTCCCATATGCATAGACTGAAAAATCTAGCAACTATTGAGCCAGAAGTCATTAAACTTACAGCTCTTGGAGGACTACATGTTTTTGGCAGAACATACAGAGGAAGAAAATTTAAAGTTAAATAAAAATCTTCTTTGAAAAAAGAAAATCAGTACTTTTTTGGGTCTTATTATACTAATTTTGGTAGCTTAGCTAGTAAATTAAGCTGTACAGTGTGGTCTTGTGTCTTCTGTTGTTCTAGTACCACTGTATATCTTTAAAAGGTCTGCCTAATGCTGCTAAGAATTCTGGATTACTTTTGCTGGATTCTGCCAGGCTGATAGTGGCAAGCGTGGAGACTCTGACAGCTCACTAATCTTGCTATCTGCTGAGGAAGAGGTAGATGAAGATGAGCGCTTGGGTCAGGTGCCGGAGTCCTCTTGGGCTGTACCACAAGTGCCTTCACCTCCTACGGCATCAGGGCTGTATTGGCCAAAAGATTCTCACAATCAATCTGATGGTGTGGTTTTTGTTCCTGACATCCATTCACGGCGTACTGGCTCCATTCCAAAACGCCGGCGACAAATTTAGAATCACCAGCTAAAGTTATTTGCACAAGTTAGTCTTCCCACGGTTTAAGATCCAGCTTCTAGGGTGTGCTTTTAGCCTGTTATTATGTAGGTCTCCGTCCTTTAAGTACTGTTTGTGGCATTGAGTACTTGCTTCCAATTTGGGCTATTTCACAATTTCTTCAATATAAATCCTTCTTATTCTGCAGGTGCTCTTTTTATTGATAACGTAAAACCAAAACAGAAAAGGTGTACTAGAAAAAGCTTGTTAATCGAAGTAGTTAGTGCTGTTTTTTTGTAGCATCTTGTATTTCGTCATGATTCACAATATAACCTGATCAACTTATTTGATCTGTGTTCTAAAATTCAGACAGTCAGAAAATAAATTCACAGTATAATAATCAGGTTAGATTATAGTTTTCTGTTCAATAATTTTATATTTGTAGAAAAAAAAGAGAAATTTGGAGCTGCAAAACCTACATGACTTGGTAGCAGCTGTTCTTCACTCATTTTTCATCTTTTCTTATTCTGCTAATTCTAATGAAACTCAATTAAATTTATGTGCACCAACTCTGTCAACATTCAAACGACATTTTCTTTTGCTATATAAATCATTCTTTCTTTTCATTGGATTTCATAGAAGTTAAAATAAATTTCAATCTTTTAAACTCATTCAAATCTTTAATCATGAATTCTTGAAAGATTTGCATTTTTAATTACAAATGTTGCAAATGTCTTAGGCAACAATTAACGATTCTTTTTGCAACATTTGCAATTAAAAATGCAAATCTTTGAAGAATGTCATTGAGTGCCAAAAGACATTACACCATAAAATTAAAGACAAATGTGACCTCTGCAATCGTGCAGAGGTTTTGCAATGGAGGTAAGAACAACAATGGATATTAAGGCTATATTTGCCTAATTCTTTATTTTTAAAATTTTATCTTAATAAATAATTTTTTTATGCTATGATAATAATAATTATAAATACTAACAATTTAATTTTGATTTTGGTATAATATAGGTAAAATTTGACAACTTTTTATATGTTTTTTAAAATAACGATAAATACTAGCAATTTAATTTGTATTTTTTATACTATAAGTAAAATTTGATAACTTTTGATATGATTTTGATTTTAATAACTTTTGATAAAATTTTGATAACATTTGATATAACTTATGATATAATTTTAGTAATCATTGATTCAATTTAATAGCCTTTGATAAAATTTTGTTAACCTCTCATGTAATTTTAGTAATATTTTGATAACTTGTGATATACTTTTGGTAATTATTGATAAAATTTGTATCATCATTTATTTAACAATGGATTTCTTGCAAGAAAGCGAAAGTTCGGTTCTAATATAAGATAATTTTCTTTTTGTATGTTAACATTATTGTTTTATTCAAATTTAGAATTTTTTTACTAAATCTTTTATTGAATAGCTTCATGGTCTATTAAAAAAAAGTTTCATGGTTAAATTATCATAACTTCCTAAGACGAAATTTGTATTTTTTTTTTTTTTGTTAGTAACCAAGATTCAATTTCTAATAATTTCAAGTATAAAAAATTTATCAATGATTGATAATTAAGTTATCATTAATTTAGCATTATTTTATCATTGATTTACTACTAAATTGTTCATGATATACTACTAAATTAGCATTAAAGTATTACTAATTTATAAATGATTTACTATTAAATTATGAATGATTTACTAATAAATATTATGTTTTACTACTAAGTTACTAATGATTTATTATAAAGTTACAATTGATTTATTATTAATTTATCAATAATTTACTATAAAGTTATCAATAATTAACTAATTTACTACAAATTATTATTGATTTGTAATTAAATTAGCATTTATTTGCAACTAAGTTATTATTGATTTACTACTATGTTATCAATAATTTACATCTACTTTATAAATGATTTATTATTATGTTATTAGGCATTTACTACTATGTTATCATTGATTTACTACTTAATTTTTTATTATTTATTACAAAATCATCATAAATTTATTACTAAATTAACTATGATTTATTACCAAGATATCACTAATTTATATTAAATTATCCATGATTTATTATTAAATTATTACTAATTAACTATTAAGTTATTACTGGTTTACTACTACTAAATTATATTAATTTACTTTTAAGTTTTTAATAATTAACTGTAAATTATCATTAATTTACTATTAAGTTATTTATTATTTACTACAACGGTAATTAATTAATTAACTATTATTAAATTGAAAATAATTTACTATTAAATCATCACTAATTTACTATTAAATTATCTTTGATTTATTATTAAATTATCAATAATTAACTATTAAGTTATCACTTTTTTTTATTAATCTATTAGTGATTTACTAATATTTTGTTATGCATTTACAATTATAAAACATGAAATTTAAAAAGTCCACTAATAATATATGAGATAATTTTTTTTATATAATAAAATTATTGTTTTATTTAAATTAAAAATTTTTACTTTTTTTTATTGAATAGGTTCATGGTAGATTTAATCCTAACCCCAAAATAAAAGTTTTGACTTCATTTTTACTAGTAACTAGGGTTTAGTCCCTAATAACTTTGAATATAAAAAAAACTATCTATGATCGACACTAATATTATTAATGATTTACTACTTAGATATTAATGATTTATTACTAAATTATTATGACTAATTTATCATTAAATTGTGAATGATTTACTATTAAATTATTAATGATTTCTATTAATTATTGTTAACTTATCATTAAGTTATTGATGATTCATTATAAATTTATAATTGATCTACTATTAATTTATTGATAATTTACTAAAAAGTTATCCATGATTAACTAATTTATTACTTAATTATCATTGATGTACAACTAAGTTATTGGTAATTTACTATCAGTTCTTAGTGATTTATTACTAGCTTATCAATTTACTATTAAATTATCAATTATTTATTATTATATTTTTATATGTTTATTAATCTACTACTTAATTTTTTATTATTTATTATGAAATTCTCTAATTTATCACTAAATTATTTATAATTCACTATTAAATTATTATTGATTTATATTAAATATGCATGATTTACTATTAGCATATTAACTATTAAATTATCGATGATTTATGATTAAATTATACTGATTTACTTTTAAAGTTTCAATGATTAACTACTGACTTATTAATTTTTTACTATTAAATTATAATTAATTTACTAATAAATTATTTATAATTTACTACTATCAATTAATTATTATTAAGTTAAAATTAATTGACTAATAAATTATCAATAATTTATTATTAAGTTAATATTGATTTATTTTAATAATTTATCATTAAGTTATTATTGATTTATTACTAAGTTATCAATAATTAACAACTAAGTTATCAGTTATTTTTTTGTTAAGTTATCCTTAATTAGTATTATGTTGTTATGTATTTACAACCATAATTTAATTGTTTTGCTATTAAAGTATTATGCATTTATTATATTATTACTAATTTACTAAAAAGTTATCAATTATTAACTACTAAATTATCATTCATTTATTGTTAATTATCTACTACTATGTTATTATTGATTTATATATATATATATATATATATTATATATATATATATATATATAAGAAAGTGACCACAATATTTGCTAGATGATGTAATTTGTATGGTAGAGAAATAAAGTAATAAAAAATTTAAGTGTAAATAACTTGAAAAGAATGAGTAAATTATCTTAATTTATTATCTATAATTTAACATATAATAATATGTTAAAATCATAACTTTTTATAATAATGCAAGTATCAAAACTAAATTAAATAAATATTTACAATATATATTGAGTCAGTATTTCTAAATTTTTTTTTTCAAAATTTTAAGTTTATAGTCAAATAGTACGTATAAAGATAAGCTTTATTAATAACTTGATTGAATATTAGTGTATGTATTTTCATATATGTTAGTGAAGTAAAATTGTATATAAAAAATTAAAAATTTTAAAGTATTTTTTCACCAATGAATGAAATAAACTTTAACTTATATTTCTATCTTTAAGTATATAATTATGAATAAACATTTTGTTATATATATTATAAAAGTAATGAGAACAAATTTACTAAATAAAATTTATAAAAATTAAATAGACAATAATTTTTAAAAATATTAAATTCACAATAATTTTCTTTGCATTTTTCATAAAAAAAATTCTACTACTAAACCAAAAGATGACATATTTTTAATTGTTACTTCATTTTTATTACTATCATTTAAAATGATTTATTTGATATTTCTTTTTGGTATGAGAATTTTTTGATATTTTAAAGCCAATCAACTTCTCTAAGAGAAAAGAGTAAAGAATTTACAAGGGATCAGAACAACTTAAATAATATTTAATTTTATGTGATCTTCCTAAATTAGCATAAGTTACGTTATTTCTTTTAAATAAAATGTTTGAATTATTTTATTTAATCCATATAGTAGCAAGTTGATCAATAAATGCACAGTTATAAACTCGTTGATTTAGATTAATATTTTTGAAATACGAATTTTAAAATCTTTAAAAGAATATATGTTATAACGTCTAGATCCGGAGATCTATTGCTAGACATTGACTTAAGGAAGTCGTCAGCAATTTTTTTTATCTAGGTACGATTGGCCATTTAAGGAATCTATCATTTCAGGAAACACCTAAGTTTAAGGGTTCCTAAAAGAATATGTTCGGGTCTATTAACCAGAACAGGATTCAAGAATTCAGTTACATGTGAGGAAGGTTGTAGCACCTTCACAACGCCTATCAAAAGATGGTACCGACTTAATTTTGTGTTATCCAATAAGTCTTAAAAATTTACCAAGTAATTAGTTATTGGAAATTATTCTCAATTGACTCTAATACATTTAGCAGAAAATTGAAAAAATTCCCTCACCTTAAGAGTATGCAAGAAAACTACTGTTTCACTTGCAGAGGCTCCATCGTCAGATTATTTAACATTAAAAAAAATCAAGAAAATAAAAAGGAAAAAAAATGATTGCTTTTGTGTAGGGAAAATTGATATTTTTAACTTTTTCTAAAAAAAAACTTTATTGAAAATTTATTTTTAAGGAAAATTTATACTTTCAACTTTTTTCCAAAAATATTCTTTGGAAACTTTAATTTCGTGGAAAATTGATATTTTCAACTTTTTCCTCAAAAAAACATTTTTTTGAGAATTTATTTTTTTGGAAAAAATTGATACTTTTAACTTTTCTCCAAAAATATTTTTTGGAAACTTTAATTTCGAAAAAAATTGATACTTTCAACTTTTTTCTCAAAAAAACCTTTTTTTGAGAATTTATTTTTTTGAAAAAAATTGATACTTTCAACTTTTGCTCAAAAATATATATTTTTTGAATTTTATTTAAAGAAAATAAAATAAAAAAATAAAAATGAAAATAAAAATAAGAATAAAGGAAAATAAAACAAAAATAAAAATAAAAATAAAAAGTATTAAACAAATATAATCTAATAAATAATAATAATAATAAATAAATAAATATAAAAAAAGAAAATGAAAAAAAAAACCTGGAAACAGCTTAGCTCGACTCTGCTTGAAGAAGAAAAATGGCTCGG